CCTTTCATATTTTATAGCTTGTTTTTTCATATAACGTTTCATAAAAAAAAAAAGAAATACTAAGCATTTAAAATAAAAATTAGGAGCACCTTTGACCACTTCGAGAGAGAAAAAAAAATTTTTTAGTCCCTATTCTATATCTATGCAAGTGCTGTATTAAAATAGCCTTACCAAAGTGAACTTACCATAATGCTTTACACTCTCATCCACCTTCATTTTGATTTCTTCTGAACACTCCTTTGAAATGAGGATCACTTCAAAAAGCAAACAGTCGGACTTGTTCTGTTCCACAAGTCTCTCATTCACTGTTTGCACAGCCTACATTCAGAGCAAGCATTTTAAGATCATAATAAACCACCATAAACTGTCTCTGAAAATGCCCATGCATCCTAATACCTTGACCTACCTTAATAAAAGTGAATGCTCTGCCATTGGGTAGTGCATCTGTATCTGTGGACGTTGAGATTGAGTCCAAGTCAAATAGGTCATTATATTGCAGCGCAATCATAAGAGGACCTGTGTAATTCTGCATGAACAGATGAGATACAGTCATGAATGGGCGTAAATCGAGCACTTTATTAAGTGTCGTTAGTTACTGGAGTTATTCACTAGAAGACAGTGTAGTAACTGTTGACTTTTACCTTTTTATCTTCCATTCTCTTCAAAATATCCCTCTTTTACCTGCATAAACAGACGCGGAAGTGAAGGAAACGTGGCGAGCGGTTACTTAAACGAACACAAACCAAACCTGCTCGCAGTTTTGCATGGTATGGACACTCCTAAAACACATGATGTAATAAAAAAGGAAATGTGAGTACAATTCCCGCCTACTTCACGCTGTGCACAGTGCAAAACAGTGCTGCCGTCAACATTCACTTTCAATGTACGTTAACCCGCCGCCACCCTGCGCTCTGGAGCGGCACAACATATGAGCCAGATTAACTATTGCTGGAGCAGTTTGGGTTTTTATTAAATAGTCATTATTAAAAATCGGTCTTTAACTACACTCTGTCATTTAAACAACCAGTCAGATTTCAGGTTTATTTCGACGTCACTAAAAAGTAGGCTATTGCAGTTCAGCAAGTTCAATTCAATTCAAGTTTATTTGTATAGCGCTTTTCACGATACAAATCGCTGCAAAGCAACTTTACGGAAAATTAAGTTTCTACAATATTTAGTTGTAGCTTATCAGTGGTGACTGTCAGTTAATGTACATATGGCAGAAATGTACGGAAAAATCAATTAAAGACGTAATAAAACAGACGATGAACACTATTAACAGCAATTATTATATGACGCAATCAAACTTATAGCAAAATGTGGTAGTTCTGTATGTTGTTTCAGGGTTGGCATCATCTGAGGTCCTCTGAGGGGTTGGCATCATCTCTTCTCAGGTGTTCTGGATCCAGACTGAAGCTTGTGTAAATCCTAGTTAGGCAAAAACAGAGAAACAAATAGAGACATAATTAGCATAGCTGCTGTTCCAACCAAGCAAAATTGATTTGTTTAACCCAAGCTAAAGAATAATAATGTGCATTTGATCAGATATACCTGCAGTACAAGATTATGAGATGCATTATTTGAATGCAAGTGAGCCAGATGTTGATTCGGTAACCACTCTGACGAACACTGGAAAATAAAACCGAGCCCTTTGAACGGTTCATTAAAAAAACGTTTCAGAAGAGTCAGTTCGGTATATAGCCTACTTTATTGCTGTGCATGGTTTTGAGTCACTTAAACGAACCGGCTCATATGTCATTTATAGGTCATTCTTCAATTGGGGTGGCAAATGAGAGGCAGAATTTGTAAAAATGCTTGTTTGTTTTTTTTCTAACAAAATGTATTGCTGTGCATTTAAAATTAGTTTAATATGCTATATCCATTAAAATAGAAGCTTAAGAATATTTTGATTTTTAAATAATTTCAATCAAACACTGGTGACACAGCCACTTATGTCTATGGTGTTACCAATATTTGAAGTAAAATTTTGGTTTGTTCT